GTAACATGTGAACATGTCATAGATGATTACATGAAGTTTTAAATAACACACATCAAAACTTAGCTAAAGTTGCATGTACAGTTCTGGGATTTCTTTTCTTTTTTTTTAGTCTTGTTATTTGTATGGTAAATAATGTGAACATTGAGAACAACCATTTAAATCTAACTTATAGTTCATAAGAAGTGTTTGTGACAGGAGATCGATCCTATTTATGATCTATGATATGGCTAGAACTGTACAAATGTACTGGCTTGGCTTGAATTGTACAAATGTACTTGTTTGGCTTTACTTACTTGGAAAAACCCTGCTGAATCATGTGTGTAATTTTTCTCATACTTTGTTTTTGATACTGTACCTGCACAATTTTATTTAGCAAGAGTCTAATACAATGAATAAGTGAATAACTCACTTGTATATTATGAAAGCAAAAAAGCCTAGGAGGATCATGAACATCTGTTGGATTATCTTAAGATTTACACTAAAAACATAAGTTTTCCATTACTTAGAATGCCTTCTTCCTCATAGCACTATCTTTTTAATGATAGTTATTTATATCTATCTATTAATTAATCAATTTCTTCTCTTCAAACAGATTCACATTTCACATGCTATTTAATTATGTATACTTTAATGTAGTCTAAAATAATTTCACAATTAATACAATTATGTGTCAGAATTTCTAGTTCCATACAAAAACAGTGAGAATGAAATTGATATCTGATAGAAATTAATATACTGAAAGAACAACTGACCCATTTGCTTTCTTTTCAATTGCATTTTTCATAAAAACTATGTTTTCATTAACAAACATTATCACCAAAATTTCAACATAAAACAGTAGCACAAAGAGTTTTGATTTCTAACTGACCTTATTTGACTTCTGAATCTTTTCACAGATTTGTAAACATCCCAGATAGCACTCCTATCAGATTTCTACCAACTTGAAGAATGTATATTTCATGTATATTTCACTTCAGTCAAATGATGATGCGTTTTTATCATGAAGAGTATGCAGTGATTATGTGTATTGGGGGAAATAGAAGCTGGGTACACAATCAATGTTTAATTATCTCTAGCTTAAGTAGATGTGTGATGTAAGAGTGTGTCTCCTGGGGCTCCCTGTATCCACAGCACATTGGGTGGACAGATAATTTGTCCACTTCTTCATGTCTTTATCAGTTAATATCAATATCTTACTCTGAAACAGTTTATTTTTGTTGTCTTTGATTTCAGATGAAGCATGATAATTTACTTATCTTACAGAAATATTGAATCTGGGATGTGAAGTTTTGCACAGTCATGATGTAAATAGAATATCCATGTGAAATACTCCATCAAAATATATGTAGACTGTCTTATAATACCTATCTTTTATATGCCCTGAAACTCCTAGGTAAATACAGGTGATAAATCACTGTATCCTAATGTTTGGCTTGATTGATTGTTGGTGTTTGATGCCACTTTCAACACACTTGGATATATCAAGGCAGCCAATTTTTATAAGTGGTGGAAGCTGGAGTTCCCAGAGAGAACCACCAACATTCAGCAGGAATACTGACTATCCTACTAAATTAAGCTGAACTCACCTTGCAATGAGTGGGTTTGGAACTGACTACTTCAATGTTGACAGGCTAGAGATCCCTGTAGAAGAATTTCTTAGACCTCTCAGCCTTCGAGGCCCCTTTATGTTGACAGGCTAGAGATCCCTGTAGAAGAACTACTTAGACCTCTCAGCCTACCGAGGCCCTTTTAAGTTGACAGGCTAAAGATCCCTGTAGAAGAACTACTTAGACCTCTCAGCCTACCGAGGCCCCTTTAAGTTGACAGGCTAGAGATCCCTGTAGAAGAACTACTTAGACCTCTCAGTTTACCAATGCCCTTTTAAGTTGACAGGCTAGAGATCCCTGTAGAAGAACTACTTAGACCTCTCAGCCTACCGAGGCCCTTCTAAGTTGACAGGCTAGAGATCCCTGTAGAAGAACTACTTAGACCTCTCAGCCTACCGAGGCCCCTTTAAGTTGACAGGCTAGAGATCCCTGTAGAAGAACTACTTATACCTCTCAGTTTACCAAGGCCCTTTTAAGTTGACAGGCTAGAGAACTACTTAGACCTCTCAGCCTACCGAGGCCCCTTTAAGTTGACAGGCTAGTGATCCCTGTAGAAGAATTACTTAGACCTCTCAGTTTACCAAGGCCCTTTTAAGTTGACAGGCTAGAGATCCCTGTAGTAGAACTACTTAGACCTCTCAGCCTACCGAGGCCCTTTTAAGTTGACAGGCTAGAGATCCCTGTAGAAGAACTACTTAGACCTCTCAGCCTACCGAGGCCCCTTTAAGTTGACAGGCTAGAGATCCCTGTAGAAGAACTACTTAGAGCTCTCAGTTTACCAAGGCCCTTTTAAGTTGACAGGCTAGAGATCCCTGTAGAAGAACTACTTAGACCTCTCAGCCTACCGAGGCACCTTTAAGTTGACAGGCTAGAGATCCCTGTAGAAGAACTACTTAGACCTCTCAGTTTACCAAGGCCCTTTTAAGTTGACAGGCTAGAGATCCCTGTAGAAGAACTACTTAGACCTCTCAGTTTACCAAGGCCCTTTTAAGTTGACAGGCTAGAGATCCCTGTAGAAGTACTACTTAGATCTCTCAGCCTACCGAGGCCCCTTTAAGTTGACAGGCTAGAGATCCCTGTAGAAGTACTACTTAGACCTCTCAGCCTACCGAGGCCCCTTTAAGTTGACAGGTTAGAGATCCCTGTAGAAGAACTACTCAGACCTCTCAGCCTACTGAGGCCCTTTAAGTTTGAACACTTCAAAACTATGTCATTAGAAAAGAATATAACACCATAACATTGGTCAAAAGGTTACAGAGCTTTTGGCCCACAATGACCATACAGGAAAATTCTATCAAATCATCAAATTTTCTTTTTAACAGTCCATTAATCCTATAGTCAAATCATTGCTTGATTGTAATGTGTGAACAGATTTTGTCTGTCGCATGGCTATATATGTCTCCATGAATAAAATGTAATCTAGGAGTGATAGTCATTTACTTCAAGCAGCAAATATTTCATACATAACCAGGAAGACAATTCTTGGTTATATTTTGTAGTAACTCGAGTGTTTACTCATAGGAGAATATCTCATTTTCTTACCTCTTCTTCAATTTTCAATATCGGTAATGGTTTAGTAAACATTAGGGGCTATTTTTTTTTCTTATTCAGTTTGCAGTAGGCAAACCTGAAATGATATAGTATCAAGTGTGACCTCTTGTTGAAGCTCTCTGACTTCTTTATTGACATTTTCAGTACCAAAATTTGACAGTATCTACATTAACACTGATAATCAGTGATTAGGAAGGCCCTATACATTAAACATGCAATCTAAAAATATTTGTTTCTAGTAACAGATCCTTGTAAATAATAATTTTAGGCCATCTTATTTACCTTAAGATGGAAATTTTCTAGTGACCGTCAAAAAAAGAATCAGCAAAAAAACACTGTTTCTTGTTACTTCATAGGTGTTTGTGGCAGTGGGAGTAAATTGGCAATTGTACTATGTCAGTACTTTGTATATTAAATTATGTCAAGTATGAATTTTATTCTTGTTCTTAATTCAATAAATAAATCCATCTTTTAATATTATATGTCATTTGACATTCAAACAAAGGAAACATGGTGAGGTTATGTTTGTCCTTACATATGAACAAAGGTACATAACTCTTGTGGTTTTCAAAACAAATATAGTAAGGATAAGCAGAGTTATCTCTCTTATATCAACTATTTGAAGACTGTCATTTTTGTTATATCAGTAAGCATATACAATAGCATAACCATTCAATAAAAATGATTTCTAGATTATTTCAGTTGTAATTTCCATTAGTGAGTTGGCAGTCATTAAAATACAATTACCATACAGCTCTGTATAATGTGAAATTTCCAAGAGATTTAACAAAATTTATGTGTTTTGAACCTTTATATCAATCATAACCCATCTTTGATATGATCTGATCAATAATATATATGACATACAACATAAGTATATTAAGTTTATCCTCAGCATGTGACGTCAGTAATGTATCTTTATATGATTTCCCATGATAATATTTACTAATTATATTTCTAGAACTCTATACAATCCTTTTTATGACCAACTCATGTCAGATTGATCCTTTTTTTTAATGATGATAAGTTTTCAATTTTCCTAATAGGAGACGTACAATTTTTATATTCAGAAGTAGATAAACAGATATCAGATCAATTTAATTAGTAAGCGTTGTGTCTTTTTTCAGTATATATCTAATGCATATAATTATATATTAAAAGGGGGATTGGAATTTAAAGAAACTACTGTCATCCCACAAAATGTTCATGAGCCTGTCGCAAGTCAGAAACTACAAAAGTTGCTGTCTTTTAACATTAGAGCTGTGTTGGACAAATATCGACCTTATGCAAAGTCTGTAGCTGTTTGAAAATTGCATTGATATAAGAACCTTATAAAACAGACCAAAATTCTTCTTTTATTTCGTATTTGAATGTTCCAAAATCATTCAAAGTCTTGTACATGTACACATGCACTTGCATAAGGTGGATTTCTATCGGACACAGCTCTTAATGTTCTTATATAAGGTGGATTTCTATCAGACGCAGCTCTCAATGTTCTTATATAAGGTGGATTTCTATCAGACGCAGCTCTGTTCTTATATAAGGTGGATTTCTATCCAACACAGCTCTGTTCTTATATAAGGTGGATTTCTATCTGACCCAGCTCTGTTCTAATATAAGGTGGATTTCTCTCCGACGCAGCTCTGTTCTTATATAATGTGGATTTCTATCCAACACAGCTCTCAATGTTCTTATATAAGGTGGATTTCTATCAGACGCAGCTCTGTTCTTATATAAGGTGGATTTCTATCCGACACAGCTCTCAATGTTCTTATATAAGGTGGATTTCTATCCGACGCAGCTCTGTTCTTATATAAGGTGGATTTCTATCTGACCCAGCTCTGTTCTTATATAAGGTGGATTTCTATCCGACGCAGCTCTGTTCTTATATAAGGTGGATTTCTATCCAACACAGCTCTCAATGTTCTTATATAAGGTGGATTTCTATCCAACACAGCTCTCAATGTTCTTATATAAGGTGGATTTCTATCCGACGCAGCTCTGTTCTTATATAAGGTGGATTTCTATCCGACACAGCTCTCAATGTTCTTATATAAGGTGGATTTCTATCCGACGCAGCTCTGTTCTTATATAAGGTGGATTTCTATCCGACACTGCTCTGTTCTTATATAAGGTGGATTTCTATCCAACACAGCTCTCAATGTTCTAATATAAGGTGGATTTCTATCCGACACAGCTCTCAATGTTCTTATATAAGGTGGATTTCTATCCGACGCAGCCCCGTATCTTATATAAGGTGATTTAAGTGTTTATGGTATATCTTTGATAGTCTCTGTTTAATTATTCACAATTTTTCTAGACTTGGCAATTTAGAGCTGAACATGTTTAGATGTCAGTTGATTATTTGTGGTGTTGAGTTTCTATCTGTTCACCCTGAACCTCTTGTTATTCATAGAGGTGAAATGGATTCAAGTTGTATTTAAACACCATACAGTAATATTAAAACAAAATCAGAATTGTTTATAAAATATTGGATTAAATAAAGTGTCAATCACCTTGAGAAAATAACTGTAAGCTAGATTGACCAGTATCAATGGCAGAAAATGAGAGTATATTGGATAGGGACAGAATTTTAGCCTTGCAACAAAGCCACCTACAGACCCTTCAAAGAGTTGTTGCAAGGGTTCTTAACTTGCAGAGAGCGTTTGGCTGTCTTAACACATGGCATTGGCTTTATCATCCCTATTCTGACAGGATGTGGCTAAGAATTTATACACCCTGCATCCAAATGGACACTCCACTTTGGCAAGCATTTCACTGGCGCTCAGAAGACGACCAAATGATGACAATATTTCTATACCCAAGTAAATACTTTGAGTGCTGTAAGTTTGAGTATACCTGATACATGCTCAGAGTCAGATTGACAGTTAATGGTATATTACCATAATTATTCCACGTGAAAGAAAATGGAATAATATTATATATTTCATCTTCACTGTAACATATTTTTTGTCTACAATTTATGTCAAACAATAGGGGGGACAATTGCCAATATTTTAGGCTATTAATTACACCTTAACCTAGACCTGTCTTTAACCTAGTGACCAAAAATTTAAATTCCCCCCAAACTTTTAGTATGCGTATAATCCATATATGTACTGCGATCTTGACCTTGATCTTTAACCTGAATTAAAATTTCAGTTTAACAATAGCTGCTTTGACCTTGATCTTTGATCTATTGACCCCAAAATTAATAGGGGTCTTCTTCAACCCCTCATCGCATTGGCCATTATCAACCCAACCATGGTTTTGAAAGATATTCTTATGAATAAAAAGATATAGTCAGGAAACTGTAATATTTTAGATCTTACAGTATTGATGAATTGTAATTCCTTAGAAATCAATTGTTCATGGATTTCACTGGTTACATTTGAACCATAAATTTATATGTTCAACAAAGTGAAAGTTTTCTACAGTTTTTTAAGAAGACATTGGCAAAACGATGAAATCTAATTTTTTCTCAACCCATTAAAATTGGTATCTACGAAAATAAATGAATACACAGTATAAGGAGTTGACTGGTAATTTTGGTTGAAATACAAGATATGTAGGTCTTAATTAGCATTTATATTATCTTGTAACAACTGCCAGATCTTCTTTATTTGATACAATTTTTAAAATGTTATGCAAGTTATTACATACCCTCATGTTTTATTTCTAGCTGTGGTGACCATGTTGAAATATAATCTAGAGTGACATTCTAGACACCAAATGGATCACACATCGAGTTTGGTTTAATTTAAATCGTTTCAGTAGCTTGTGGGGAGATTAAGATCTTTGAAAAACAAACTACAGCCACCATGTGATTACAAAAGCTTGTGTGGTTCTTTTGGCAAGGTGAGCTAAAAAGTTATATAAGACAAACTGTACTTCTTCAAATGAATCAACTGAAGGCTAACAGGAAGGACCCTAAATGTTGGATATATCTTCAAAGTTTATACAATGTAGTCAAACCACTTCCAGAAAAATACTAGCTGAATACAAATCTGAACTAAGTCTAATTAACGACTGCTTGCAGTTAATTCAAATTTACACTTAATCAAATTTTGTTCTCAGTATGAAAGTTAATATTACAGTACATTCAACAAAACACTGCAATTTATCATAGTTTTCAAAAAAACACTTTACTACACAAAATACTGTTTAAAATCTTTTCTATTTCATTACTTTGTACTGAACTGTTGTAGCTTAAGTGACCTCAGTTTTCTGTCCATTGAGACAAAAGAAAATTATTTTTTGCAAAAAAAAAAACAACCCAACTTTTTCCAATTACAAACTTTTGATTCATTACAAAGATAAAATAGCAAAGAAAATTAAGCTATGACTTTCTGCCTATTGATAAGTTATCTACTGTCTACTTTACATCTGTACAAATGTTGTTTATTATTTTGTAGATTTCTTGACATTCTGATGCTTTTGCACTGACATTGGCTTTACACTGTAGATACATGATTACATCACAGACTGAGTCAGCTGTTGTCATTCTCATATTCTTTTTTCTCAAAAGTCTTGAAACATCAATATCAATGCCTTCATAACACCTGGATAAATAATCAGCACTAAACACATTACTTGTAATACATTAAACTGTGGTCATTTAGATGAATCAGTACCACCCATGTCATAATCATTTGAAAAGTAAAAATAATTTGGACACTTAAATAATTTAACAGGATTTGAACACTTGATGAATCATCAAAAATACAGCCATGATGAAGACCTAAAAGATGCAATTGTTAGAAGCAACAAAAATTCAGAAAAAGAAGGATTTTAGACTCTTAAAAAAATCTATAGAATAACAAAACATGGACAACCATGTGAAACAACAGATACTAAATTCATTTTTATCCAGCAAGTTCAAACCAAAGACTTTCAATTGGTTTTGCTTACTCTCCACTAAACAGGGAGTATTTTAAAATAGAGCAAAAATTGGTGGGCTTGTAATTGGTGTCAGAATAATGTGTCTGGGTAGGGTAACATGTCTTCCTGCAGTCAGCTGTTACCTTTTGAACTAGCAGTTGAAAATCTAAATTGTAATGTCAGTATTCTTCAAAGCAAGGATCATATTCACATCACTACAGCATGCTCTGCTCTAAATATGCTAATTAACATCTATTCATTCATAGCGTTTCTTTAAGGTAAAAATATAGTTTTTTTTGGAGATTTCAATTTCAAGTGTAAAGTACATTTAGTAGCATGTTAAAAAAGTTCTTATATTCAATATCTCTATAGAAATCCATTTTTAGAAATGCTTAACACAGTCACAACTCTCCATAATTTATTAACACTGAGATTGCTTGCATTGCAACGTTCAAACAAGAGTGCACATACAGAAATGTCAAGCCTGCTGTACTGACCATTGATTTTATGTTGAAAGTCTTAAAGATAAAGGTTTTACTACAAGTATCACATAAAATTAACATTTTTAAAGATCCATGACAATGAGGACAAGGTCAGATAAATCCTGCCAGACAGACATGTTCACCTTACAATTATTCCACATACAAAATATAAAGTTGACCCATTACTATAATATGGTAATTGAAAAACAGACCAAAACACAAAAACCTAACCAATGAACCATGAAAATGAGGTCACGGTCAGATGATACCTAACATACAGACATGTACACCTTACAATTATTCTGTACACCAAATATAGCTGACCTCTTGCTATAAGTATTTAAAAAACAGACCAAAACACAAAAAACTTAACACTGACCAATGAACCATGAAAATGATGTCAAGGTCAGATGAGACCTACAAGACAGACATGTACACCTTACAATCATTCCATACATCAAATATATTTGACTTATTGCTTATAGTACTTGAAAAAAACAGACCAAAACACTTAAACTTAACATTGACCAATGAACCATGAAAATTAGGTCAAGGTCAGATGAATCTTACCAGACTGACATGTACCCCTTACAATCATTCCATACACCACATATAGTAAACCTACTGCTTATAGTATCTGAGAAACAGACCTTATCACGTAACTTAAACCTTGATCACTGATCCATGAAATGAGGTGAAAGTCAGGTGAATCCTGTCTGACAGACAGGTAGACATTGCAAGGAACCCATATGCCATATATCCTATTACTCATAATAATAAGTGAGAAATTCACATGACAAAATTCTTTTTTTTTTCAAGCAATCACTGAACCATGAAAATGAGGTCAAGGACAATGGACATATGACAGACGGAAACTTCGTAAAATAAGGTATCTGCATACAAGGTATGAAGCATTCAGGTCTTCTACCTTCTGAAATATAAAGCTTTATACAAATACTTTAAACTGCCAGATAGTAATCACTATGTCAAGCATACTTTCGTCGCAGGCGAGACAAACATGAAAGTGATATTTAGATATGAACATAAATCTATGCATGTACAATGACAAAAATACATGTCTAAAACCTACAGATTGGACAAGAGGAAAATGGTGGAGTCTAAAAGAGACTGTGCTTTTAATTGAACTCTTGGGAGACCATTATATATAATGTGTCCTGGATTAGCTGGAAAAAACACCAAAGAGAAACCTGGAAATTTTAAATGAAAATATATATACCGGTATATATTATGCATAGGTATAAGAGACAGAACCCCAATCTCAGGCCAAACTGATTCTTTTTATATTGCTATGTTAATGCATTGGGTCTCAAAAGATTGATTTAGATCGATCTTGCTGGAATAAATGTAAATACGAACTGGTCTTTTTAAGATCGATTCAAATAAAAACCTGTTCAATTTTGTACAAGTCTAAACAGGGTCTTACACTTTAGGAAAATTTTCTTATTCTAATTCTCTGGTGTCCACTTTCTTCGGACAAATATATTACAGTCATGCTAAGGAAATTGATAAAAACAGTTTTTTGTCTTAGCACAGCTGCTTCTATTTTGTATGTCTATCAACACAGCCCAAACTAAATGGCAAATGTCACAATTCTTTTCTTAAGTATTATGTTTCAATTTTTACTATCCATCCCTTTTCCAAACATTATCTTTCAATCAGTTCTTTATCTTTCCCATTCTACACTATTTTATATTTTTTCAATCATTTCCAAACTCTATGATATTAAAATGTGGAAAAAAATGCAATACTCTATAATTCTTGTTTTCCAAACATGAGAGATGCAGTTCATGACCTCAAAACCAAAGAGCACAATACAACCTTAATGAAAA